TACTTTTCATACATTTCATCTCGTTCATCGTTTTCATCGTTTCAATCGCTTTCATACTCTTCATCGCTTTCATACTTTTCACCTCTTCCATAGTTTTCATACATTTCATCTCGTTCATCGTTTTCATCGCTTTCATCGCTTTCATCGTTTTCATACTTTCCATGGCTTTCATACTTTTCATCTCTTTCATACTTTTCATACATTTCATATCGTTCATCGTTTTCATCGCTTTCATCGTTTTCATACTTTCTATGGCTTTCATACTTTTCATCTCTTTCATACTTTTCATCTCTTGCATAGTTTTCATACATTTCATCTCGTTCATCGTTTTCATCGTTTTCATCGCTTTCATCGTTTTCATCGTTTTCATCGTTTTCATCGCTTTCATACTTTCCATGGCTTTCATACTTTTCATACATTTCATCTCGTTCATCGGTTTCATCGCGTTCATCGTTTTCATCCATTTCATGCCGTTCATACTTTTCATGTCATCCGCTTTCATAGCTTTCATCGCTTTCATACTTATGATCCGCATTGATACTGTTCATTTGGGTCATCCGCTTTCATACTTTTCATCCGGCTCATCCGCTTTCATACTGTTCATTCGGGTCATCCCCTTTCATACCTTCCATCGCTTTCATACTTGTGATCCGCCTTCATACTTTTCATTCCGGTCATCCGCTTTGATACCTTCCATACCTTTCATCGCTTTCATACTTGTGATCCGCTTTCATACTTTTCGTTCGGGTCATCCGCTTTCATAGTGTTCATTCGGGTCATCCGCTTTCATACCTTCCATACCTTTCATCGCTTTCATACTGTTCATTCGGGTCATCCGCTTTGATACTTTTCATCCGGCTCATCCGCTTTCATACTTGTGGTCCGCTTTCATGCTGTTCATTTGGCTCATCCGCTTTCATCCCTTCCATACCTTCCATCGCTTTCATACTTGTGATCCGCTTTCATACTGTTCATTTGGGTCATCCGCTTTCATACTTTTCGTATGAAAGCGATGAAAACGATGAAAAGTATGAAAGCGATGAAAAGTAGAATAGTATGAAAAGCATGAAAACGAATACGTCTCAAGTGTATGGATCAGTCGACTTTTAACTTATACTTACACTATAATAATATATTCATGCAGTACATTTCTGCTTACACATTTTTTGTGTATTCTAACAGCTCTGGATAAGTGCGGCCGCAATGGCAAGGAAGTTTGACACCGACGGCAGCGCAGAATTTTGAATCGTTTGACTGAACCACCGAAAACGCTTGAGGCGTGCTTTAACACTTTCAACCACCCATCGCAGTTTGGTGATAAACCGAGATCGGTTCGCATCATGCACACCGAATTGTCTGCGGTTCGGACCAAGAAATGAAGGCATAGCAGTATCGATGCCAAGAGACTTGAGTACACCGAGCGAATCGGGGAAACCTCTATCGAGGATCATTATATCATCATCCCTAATCCAAGGGAGGATCTCCTCGTAATTATTGAGCATAACGGTTTTCAAAATAGAGGCGTCATTATTACGAGAATCGGAGAAAAAGGGACCGAAAATGGTCACTATATATCCAGTTGTTGTTACCATGACCATAGGTTTGATCAACGACCGTTTCTTCTGCATGTTGAACGTCTGGCGTTGGACTGAATTGTTTCGACTTTTCTATTCTCGAAAGAGGTCTTTCGCTGAAGAAGGAATCACTAACGTATCTTACCTGTATGAACAAATATGTTCCATCCAATACAAGTATAAGATGCACCCAGGGCAGCCTTGCAGTGAAATTTATTTTTCGACACTTCATACACCATTCGATAGAGAATTTCGCGGTGATCACGAATATCACTTCCAAGGCTCTCAGAACCCTTTCCTCACTG